CACTGGATCGTCAACTAGCCTTACACGAGAGCTTTGCCTAAGGCAGCGTTCAAAGTTGGCGATTGTAGCGATTAGGAAAGTAGGCGATTGGGCGCTCAGTGGGCGGAGCGATCAACGAGTAGGCGACTAGACGATTGGGTGAGAGACGACGGGTAATCCAATACTATCCTAATCTACTACTTTCCTGCTATACTAATATGACCAACTACTCGCAGGCGATTTCAATCGATACGTATCTAATCTTGTCAAAAACGTCCTACTCTCCTACTATCTAATCTACTACTATTAATCTCTCAATCAATACATAACTTTTTCATTGTCGCCTACTACCCTAATCTATGGTGTCGTGAACTACCATGAACGCGGCCTAATCGTCTCACTCGTATCTCCGAATTCAAAACCGACATGTCTCTCTCATCACCCCTCTATCTCCTGATCTCTTGAATCGTGGAGCACAAACGCGGCTGTTCAGAGGATTCTCAAATCGCTTAAACCTTGAGCTATAACACTGCCTTAGGTCAATTCGGAGCTGGCGTCTCAGTCAATGGGACGATCGGGCGATGGCGTAAAACACTAATAGAAACACCGGAAACCGCTCAGAAGAGCTCACTTCGGCATGACCTGAGCAGCGGCGGTTTCCTTTTCAATTTTGGTTCAAATAATATAACTCCAGCTAAAAACGACAAAACACAACAGAGGGATAAATGTGGCTAAACCGTAGGGCTACTTCAACCAAATCTGAAGGCAAGCACTTCATCGCAACAAAAAACGATAATCTAGCACAACGCATCGGCTAGTTTCTGATAATGATCACTTCAATAAGAGATTACACGCTGCTCATTCGACGTCAGTTATCACGACTAAAACTATTCACTGGTATGGAAACTCTACGTGCAAGGAAACCAACACAGACTGAAACTATTCACTAGAAACTTCTCTAGGCACTATTCCTATAGTAACTAGACCATCTTGCGGCTTTCGCTAAACAAATTCAACGACTGAGAAGGTACCGCGACTGGTAACTGGTACACAGGAATTGCAAAATAAAGAGATGTGCAACTGGTCTCATTTCGAATTCTTATGATGAGGTATAGGTAACGATTCGTTTATTGTTGATGGGTTGACCGCAAACGCGCTTCCACCCGACAAGAATCAGTACCTAGAGTTCACCATGGGAATTCGAAACTGAGAAAATGAAGAATAACGAAGAAAATTGCTGATTTCATACTTTACACCTCAAAGGTTCCTGAAATACTAGTGCATGTGCCCGAACAAGCAATAACATAGAAATAACACTGAGTACATTATTGCCCTTACAAACAAGCATACAACATTATAGCTAATATTTATATAAGCTCAACAAAAAAGGCAGCTCAGGTTGACGATGTCGTGTATCCGAGAACGTATTTGAATAATTCGTACACAGACCATGACAATGCAGTGGCGGGCATCTGTAATGAACAACATCAGTCATTTTATCACTTATAAATCGCAGTTTTGAATAAAACATCCGAGTTTTCAGAGGCAGCTGACGTGATGAAAAAGTAAATAAGAGCAAATACCTGGAAAATGACTCGCGCTTGCATTCCACAAGTGAAACCAGCGAGACCTCGTTGTGAGTAGATGATTTTGAAAGCATCGGGAATATTTCGGTAGCCAACAGTGCTCTGCAGAATGATAGTATCTTTTGGCAATATACGATTCACACACGGCAGTTCCTTAAATCACCACACTGCGACTCATCAACATCAGCACCCATAACTAGCACATTTTCCATATGTATAATAACATATTACGTGCACCTCAAGCTAGAACCAAGTTTGGACCATTAACTTGCGTCCGACTCTGCTGGTTGAGATGAAATGAGCCCGAGAGAGGGGTTATACGCGAGACTAGCCCTTGTAGGCGTCACTGCTTTTCGAAATACCCTTGCCTTCTTTTTGAAAAAAAAAAGTTCAGTATTTTATATTACCATCTTCTTCCCCTCCTTTTTCAAGCATTTTTTGGGAACAGCAGATGGAACATATCTAAACTCCTAGTACTTCCCACGTAATGATGCACTTCCATGATCGACCACGCTGCTCCTTTTTTCAGTTCCGGACTGAGTTCAACGTTAACTTCACGTGCGTCGAGTGTGAACCGCGTGCCGTAATTTATCAGGCGAATGCGCAGTCTTCATGGTTAATAAGACCACTAATCATTTTCGCGCCGCATACACTTGACAATGTGAATATGAAGTGAATTTGGCTACCGTAGAGCAATGACGAATTCATAAGAGAATATAAGCAGGAGGAAATTTAGTGAGCTGTCTGAGCTTGAGGGAAGCCATTATGAGATGTGGAGGTAACAGCTCAAATATTCATGCTTTCTAAAAAAAATCTGAACACCTAAAAGGGAAATAGGGTTTCTGGAAGGAAAAACATTGCTGATGCGAAAGCCAGTCGATTTACTGAATAGTTTATTTTCCCTTGGATTGCTTCGGCGGCCTGACATATAAGCTGAAGATAAGAAAGGAAAGAAAGGAAAAGTCATCATATGGTTATCAGGCAGTAAACGGAAGGGTTGCGCACTTTCCTAACCTAATTTCCCTATATCCCTGTCAAATAGCGAATTGAACAGCAGGATCCGAGTAAGTGGACGGCCTTGACTGTGCATGAACTTTAATGAATAAAGTTTCTCGAAAAAACAAATCTTCAAAAATCGAAAACATAAAATCATAAGGAACTAAGAATCACACTACTTAAAGGATATTGATCAAAGACCTCAACCAATGATTCATACCTTGAGTAGAATTTCCTTCTTGACATACGATTTCTGGAGTTTGTTGCGTGTTCAACACAGTTTTTACACAATCTAGAGGCGTCGTTATCATGGCTGCTAATCCACCAGCAAGACCACCCGCAATAAGATGAGACGTTGGATCATACTGGTGTTTCGGATTGAGGATCTGTAATACGTAAACTGGTAAAAGTAGGACGACATATGGCGACGAAGCTAAACAAATCATACCTGTTGCCAAAACTCGTAGGTCATAAAATGAATAGACTGGAATGGAACTGCCATAATGAGTTGCGTCGTATAGGACCTATAGAATGCTGCCATGCCTTCCCTTTGGTAAATACAACGCACGCATTCCAGGGACGAACCGTACGGAGAAAACTGCATCTGCATTCGCTGTTTAACAACCTAAAACAGGAAGGAAAATTGTTTCCCGAAGAAAGGTGAAATGAAATCCAAAAACAGTGAACCTCATACCTCCACAGGATTCATAACCGCATCGTGTATTAATGTTGCTACGACTCCAGGCAGCCCCATACGACAACGTGTTCGAGTGACCAGCAGTATTTCCCGTGAGGAAACCCTGTGAGATCATTACGTTCAATGATGGCATCTTGTTAATCATCCAAATTGAAAAGATTTCACCTTAGTCTTTTCATACACTGTGAAATATAAGGCATGTGCAGGCATTGAACCAACTGCAACTGCGTTAACACCTCTCAACGGCCGCAACCAACCTTCTCTAATACATATTGAAAATCAAACACAGGCTTTGTTTTAAATTTTGAAACACCTTCTTTGTAAGGGAAATGTATTTTCCGTCGAATACTGTGCCATCACCGGAAGACATTATTATCGCTGGCCTTCTGCGTGCACCTCTAAAGAATTTTCTCGACGAAAGTTCATTCATTGTCTTGTAACCTTTCTGTTTTCTCGTCGGCACAGAACGATAAGTACAAAGAACAAGTGCAGAAACGGAGGTATGATGTTACACCACACTGTAGAAAAAACTCAGTTCAATTGTGTAAAGAAAGTTCGCCTTTACCGAAATCCCCAAAAAATGTCCGCTGGGGAAGGGGAGGGGGGAAGGTATACAGCCACGGGGAATAACAGTGGCAGTCTCTTATTGAAAAATCCCGGTCTTCGTGAATTCACAAAATCGAGGAAGTCTTTCCAATATAGTTAGCAAAATCAGATCCTACACTAAATCCTGCACTTTCTCCGAAGGTACGTTGCCGATTCCACTCAATACAACCCCTACTAAGAAATCCTCGAGATCTGTTTATACTGCTATCGCAGCGACAGACGCTCTAACAGCTGCTTCTTCCCAGGGTTGTTTACGTTCACTACTGTTACCATTATCGCTCTTCTCATTTCGAAAGTGCAATTCATATAAAGCACTACTATCATGCCGTCATAGCGGATCACAGTTGATATCGGATTAACATCGAAAAGACGGCCACCATCTTATCCGTAAGCCCTCATCTCCCATATCAATCGGCAGAATGAGTCCCCCTTCACTTGGTTTTCTGACGATTTCTTCTAGTTTCTGCACCATCAAGCACCTTTACTCTCACATTTCAATAATACCATATAATCATAAAAATGCCTTTAATGCAC